CAGGTTATCCACATTGACCCTCGTCTGCAGGCAAATGTGTTCACAGCCAGCCCACTTTAGTAAAGCAGTACTGACACCTTCCTTCTTAGTTAACATGCACACAGGGAAGTTATTTGAAATATAAACTGTAGCCATCATTCCAGTTCCAGGAATTGCATGAGGGATGAATATTTGAGTGTGAGAGAAAACAATCTCATTCTCACGAACTAGAGAGGGTAGTTGGGAAACAGGCCCAGGTTCTCAAGGCCTGTTTCCTTATTCTGTGTGAACTTGTAAACAATGAACATACTCATGTTTAAATTAAGTATGAAAGAACACTTATAACACAATTAAAAATGGTTTGTGACCACCTACTAATCTGAAGTCTCATCATTGTTATTCACTGTAAAAGTGCTATAATTAAAGAATTAAAATATGCACACATTATTCCTAGTTAGTGGAGGATATTTTATATATAAAAAAATAAAATAACATTTTAAAAACACTTACATTTATTCAGCAAATATTCTTTAATTTTGTTATATAAAGGCCCTGAGTTAGGCTATGAAGAGTATACACATGATAGGGTCCTACTTTGGGAGCTCTGATGGTGTAGTGCCTACAGCATTTGACTGCTAACCAGAAGGTTGGAAGTTCAAACCCACCAGCTACTCCTCAGAAGGAAGGTTGGTCAATCTATTTCCATAGTGATACCACCTCAGAAACCCAAGGAGGGGTCACTATTAGTCAGATTTGACTCGACAGCACGTGAGTTTTTTTTAGAGTCCTACTTTACAGAGCAAGAATAAAGTAGGAATATAAATAACCAGCATTTAAGACAATGTGATATGTTGTAAGAAAGTTATACATGAAGTGCTGGCCCAGAGGAAGGACATATAACTTCCTGCTGAGAGGACAGAAAAAAACATCAGAATGGTGGTGGCCTCTGAACAGGGACTTGAAAGATGGATAGATCTGTTGAGTAGACATGGAATAATATGGGAAAATACAGATGATTCCAAGCAAAGAGAACAGTGGGCACAAAGGTACATTGATGTTATGTTGAAAGAACATTGAGCTGTCCCATACTATGGAATAAGTTAGTACCATAACTTTGTGAAAGGCATTACTGGAAATAAGGTTGAAAACCAGGATGGGATCAAACTGCGGGAAGACACAGACATGCACATGAATTTGGACTGGGTTGTGCAAACAATTAAAATGTGTGAACAAGGAACAGGTCAGAACCAACTGTGAGAACTTCCCCTTAGTCTCAGAATGAACTGGAAGGAAAGATAAGGGATTCCAGTTCATTGGGATTCAATTAGGAGTCAATGGCTATGAGAATAAAATTGGAGAGGCCAAGATGGTCTCTGAAATGGTATGAAGACAAATTAGAAGAAAGTAAACAGAAGATATCACCATATTTGAGCCTGGTACCATCATTACCAGATACCAGGAAGAAGGAAAAGAATAAATTGGGTCAGAGGGAAAGCCTCAGTTTTGGACATGCTGAGGTGCTGATAGAATGTTCAGAGGGAAAATTACAGTAGACCAGAAGAAATTACTAAAATCTGGGAATCACTCCCATGAAAGTGATGCAAAATTGAAGCTTGGGAGTGAGAAAACACCAAGGGAGACAATTTTAAAATCATAAGCATTGTTTTCTAGTCATGGTCACATTTTTTAAATGTTTACCATAGAAATATATCTATCCAATATTCAATATTAACAATATGGGACTGTGACAATGTTTCCCACATTATGTCCTAGGAATAGTTATTTTATTTTGTACAATAGGTGGTAGCTGGCATTCTACTTTAAAAAAAAAAAAAATCATGGTCAAATGATCAAATCAGCTTGGGAAATGCTAGGTTACACAGTACTAAACAAAATTTTTTATGGTGTGACTCCTCAGAGCCATAATATGCTGATGTGTATTATGAACCTCCAAGAGGAGAGCCAGTATGCAGCCTTTACTGAACATCATTAACCAAAACAGTTCTTTTTACAGAACACTTATTACTCCTTTGGAAAATTGAGCAATGCTGCTAGAAAGTATAGGAAGGGGAAAGAGATTTTATCATTCTTAGAGAAATTTGTCACTATAGACTCAATACTCCTCTTCATTTATGAAATAAGCACCATCACCCCATGAGTCTGTGGAGGCAGAACCAGGGCCAGGAGATTGCTCAAAGACTCATGGTTTTCCTTGTATTTCCTTTAGTTACACTAATGCAATTACACTAACCTAAGAGTGTAAACTAGACAAAACCATAACTACCAGGTATGCACATACCTGGGCTTAACAATTCTGGTCACTTATCTGAAGAGCAAATATGACTGTGGACTTAGATTACAGCAATGCCTCCCTCCTTCATGGCCTTTCAGAACTCAGCACCTGCTGTTCCATCACAGGCCAGGAAGTCAGGAGACGGTCTGCCTGTACCTCTGAGCCTAATGACCTAGAGAAAGTCCTCTAGTCGATCTGAACTTTAGTTCACAGTCTGAAATAGGAACAATGTCCTTGTACTGCCTACACTCTGAGTTTTTCCTTCTTTTAAGTAGATTCAATAATACAGCACTAGGCAAGGAGTAGGAGCTCTGGTAGCATAGTGGCTAAAGCACTTGACTGCTAACCAGAAGGCTGGCGGTTCAAACCCACCAGCCACTCCTCGGAAGGAAGG